AGAAAATCGCCTTTAAAGTTGTCCAAATTAAGTTCTTAGCAATGCATATTACTAATCAAAAATTAAGTTTTAATATATTTACAGTAGGAAATTTACAAAATATCTTCATGGAACATGAGCTTTACTTAATATCCTAATGATTTTTGGCATAAAAGAAAAATCGATAATTTTGACCCCTACAATGTATTTTTGGCTATTGCTACAAATATACCCCAGCGACTTAAGACTGGTTTGTGGTCCAGGGTTACACACACACACACACATATATATATATACAGTATATATAGATATATATATACATACATACATATACTGTATATATATTACTTTTGCACAAGACCAGAACTTTGTTTTAAGGAAGTAAATTATTTTGATTTCATGTTGACTTGAAGCTGTGTTTCTTTTAATATTAATTTTGCCTAGAAATGCTACAGGCTTGTAATGCTAATACATCTGTCTTCAGTTTTGGTATTTATGCATATTCATAATCTAAGTTGATGTGTGGCCCCAAAAAGTATTTGCACATTAAGTCGCACTTAAATGTCTGAATGCCATTTCATTAGATGCAAACAACAAATTATGCTGGATCTCTTCTCAGAACTAACTTTTTCACATTGACCTTTAAACAGCTGTCATGGAAGTGCTTTTTAAGTGGCTGTATAAGGTCACACAAGTGTAAAATGATGCACTTCACTATAGTTTGAGTGTGAAAATACTTTGTGGAGCTGCTGTAAAGTCAGACAGTGCTAATACAAGCGATAAATGGTCCATATTCAACAGGATTTGAGTTGATTCTCTAACACTAATAGAGGAGTGCTTAACTTCCAGTTTGATGAAAGAACAAAAAACGACATGCAGTCCATCATTCAGGATAAAAGATAATGAGAATCCATATTAAGTCTTGAAAAGCAACATTAATCTCTCATAGTGGAATGTTTCTTCTTCTGAGCTCTGCTTTAATGAGAGAGGATAAGGCATGTACCGATCTATTATCACATATAGTGTACCCATCACATCAGCCTACATCAGCCTACATCAGATCCAAATGCCTTCAACTCACCGCCTCTTCTGTATAGTCTCAGTCTCAGACGGCACACCCTTAGACCGCCCATAGATCGATAACCCGCTCACTCTGTCTAATCCATCCTGCAGACAAAACCGTAAAAGGACTTTCTTGATCTGGCGAGCTCTACTTTCTCGATCTGATCGGCTAGCTTTATGAAACTTTCAGGAGCGAGTTTGAAAAGTCAAGTCTGCCTGGAAACAAAGTTGTTTACACTTGGCGCCAGATTGAAACTTGAAGCATTTGATGCTAAAATAATTATTGCCCATTTTTTTCCAGGTTAGTAGCATTAGAAAAGATGTTCAAAGTTTTGCCTGGGGCATTGAAAACAAAGTAAACTAGATGTCCATAAGCAGACCTGGAAATGTTACCTTTCCGAATTATGTCTGTGAAAAGTACTTATTTGAAGTTTTAAATACTTGGATGATCAGAAAACCGTACATGTATTCAGGTATTTGTTTGTGGAGACTACCATGGCATAATTTAAAATAAGTACTTAAAATAAAATTTGTATTTAACATTTTTAATTTAAATAAAAAATAAGTGAAATGAAATAAAAAATACATTTTTCATTTAAAATAAATATTTTACATGAATTTAGCTTTCTTTTCTAAATGATGTTGGTGAAAATTGCGTATTTGAAGTTTTAAATTAATTTAAAATAAATACTTCAAATATTTATTAGAATTTAAATTAAAAATACTTAATATAAGTTTAAATAAAAATTTTAATTTTAAATTCAAGTACTTAAAAAATGTTTCAAATTAAAATATATATTAAATATTAAAATGATAATTTAAAACTAAAATTGTTATTATTTGCAGAGACTGTCTTGCCATAATTTAAGTAAGGCATAATTAACAGACACCCAATGAATTATTAGAAAAATTATACAATAATGCAATAAAACAACCCCATGGTATACATTTCAATAATTTGTCATACTAAATTTCATTGGGTATATGTCGAACGTCACCTGACCAAACCCGGAAAACAGGTCTCATCGCTTCCGCTTGTTGGAGAACGTGCTAACAGCCATAATAAATAATAACGATATCTATGGACTTTTAAGATAATCAGTTAAACTAGCTAGCTGTTTTTTTTGTTGACGTTTTATAAAATTTTTATATCTAAATGTTAGTGAAAAGAATAAAAATAAAAACTGTTAGATATCAGTCCGCATATGTGATGGACATTGGTTATGATAATCTTTGATATCTACTTTGAAGGCATCTTGAGTAAAACGGCTTCATTTTTAACTAAGCATATGCAAAACGCTTGAACTGGAAGCGACGGGACCTGGTTAACAGAATACGGAAGTCTGTTGCGGATAACCCCTATTGGTTTCATTAAAATACTTTTATTTACTACATTTTGTTCTTGTGGCATATCTATTTCAGATCAATTATTCCTAAATGGCATGTAGAGCCACTTTAAATGTTAGACAAATAGTCCTCTTCCTGTCAAAATGGATGGTTCTTAACCAAAATAAGCTGCGGTGTGGATGGGACTTTTTGCTGTTTAGTCAAAAAATGTTGTTTACGTGTGACTAACCTCTGCTTCGCAAACATGTTGCATTACCTGCATTTTAAGCAGCTGTGCGGCGCAGATCTGGACCCTCGTGTGGCTGAAGCTCATTCGTTATTTTCTCCTTGCATGAGCTGTCGAGAGAGTCCTGTGATAAAGCATGAGTTTGCCTAAAATAGCTTTTTAGGGCAGAAATGCCGACATATAAGGCAATTTGCAGCTTAGGGAACATGGACTGTCAGCACACATTAATAGATATGAAGCTGAAGCTTTCAGAAGTTTTAGTAATAAATGTTCCGCTGCTTTGAAGCATCTGAACACGCAAATGCACCTGCCGTCTGCTGGATTCGTAATGAACGAGACGTGCACTGCTACATGTGCATTTAAAATTACATTTAGATAATTAAATATGCATAATGTCATTTACAAATCGGGTAACTTAAGGAATGA